ATTTAATACTTGCATTAAATAACATCATCATAAAAAACCTTAAAATATAGTGATACTTTTAATCTAATGTTTTTGGTCATTTTTATCAACCTTCTTTAGGATAAAACAAAAAAAAAATAGCAATTGAATGATGGTTTTCATTTGAAATAAACAGAACATAAATGTATTTCTGACACATATATTTAAATATTACTGTTCTAGAATAAAAAATTAAAAAATGACAGAATGCTGGACTTTTAAATAATACATAAATGGAAAAGTATGAAAACAACTAAAATACTAAAATGCATAAATAAACTAAATAGTTAACATAAAAATATAGAATAAATACCAAAAATGGTAATAAAAATAAAATTAAAAATATATATAAATAAGCAAAATAAGTGAACATAAGTATGGTAACTTCTCTGTATGTTTCTGTATTTTTACCCAATGTCATTTGGAGTCCAAATTTTGGAATGCTTTATTATCATCATCATCATTGCTGTCACATAATTATCCCAATATGGTAGCAATACAATAAATGTTCCTTGGTTACTACTGTCTGAGAGATGAGTTGGAACAGTGGGAAAAGACTCTTTTTATAAGGGCCCTGAAAGCAGCCAACTTGTCTAGATAGATCATGTGATAATGGTAGAATATAAAGTGGAATATGGAACATTTTTTGATACACATCAGTAGTAAGAGCACTATCCTTGAAAGAGATGAGAACATGAATGAAATGGATTTTGGATGTCACTGCTGCTCCAGGCATAATGTTAATCTGTAGGGGTTGTTCATTATGTCAAGAAAGCTTTGGATAGGATAGTTAAAAAAACTATGCAATCAGAATATTATTAACATATCTGGAATAAAAGAGAATGTGATCCTCAAAATGTACTCAAAATTGGACTACCCATAGGTATACCAAAGATTGGAGATACATGGAGCCTTCAAAGCAGGAGGATATGATGTCAGCCAACCCTAAGATAGAAGAATGATAGTTGTGAGAATGTTCAATGTTGAAAATCAGAAAATCATATAATTTGCAGAAGCATGGTTCACTCCTAATGTAAGGAAAAAGTGACTGAAAGTCATAAATGGGGAAGTACACTTGCATTGACACATTAAGATCTCTTAGTCTTCTTACTAAAGTGTTCAACCCTTTAATAACATGAATTTTGCTGGAGATGTTCAGTAAGAAAGTGATTATTTGAATCCTTTCAATGTATATCATGGGAGACACCAATTTATCAACAATGGGGGGGGACAGCTGGGAACCTTGTTTGTGGATTTTCACAAAGGCAAATATGTGAGTAGTAGTAGGAGCTGAAAGTATAGCATTCCACATGTGTAGAATACCAGCAAGTGATATATTTGAAAATTGTCAAATTCTGGGCTAAAGCTTTTGTAAGTAATCCTGAGGTACAGTTACACATTCAGCCTTATGTATGTAATTAAGGATAACTGTCCTGTATATATTGAGTTGTTCGGAAAGTAAGTTCGTTTTTTTTCTGTGGGAAAAAAAACACAATATTTTTATAATAAATAAATATTTTATTGAATTATATATCAACCATTTTGGTCAAATACGTGTTGTCATCGTTTCTGGTAGTAGCATGATTTCACATTCATAAAAGTATTGATTGTTGCTTACAAAAAACTGATCCAAGTGATTTTTGACATTGTCATTTCAAGTAAATGTCTTACAGTTAAAAAAAAATTTGTATAGACCGGAACAAGTAATAATCTGAGTATGCTCGATCTGGTGAATATGGTTGGTGTGATAGCACATCCCATCTAAGTTATAACAGTTTCTGACGAGTTACCAAACTTGTGTGAAATTTGACATTATTGTAGTAAAACATTACACCTATTTTGCTGATCAATTCTGACAGTATTTTCTGTTTGATGATATTACTCAATTTGTTTACTCGATGGCAGTACATTTCGAATCAATTGTTAAATTGTCTGGTAAAAGCTCCAAAAAAAAATTTCCGTAAAATCCCACCAAAGAGAGCATCTCTCTTTAAGAACATGTGGAACCCATATATTGAGCTTTCAAACGAAACCAATTTGTTTCAAGTAATCATAAACGATTAAATTTGACAAATTTAATCTCTTAGTGATTTCACGTATTGTTATTTGGCAGTTTGCTTCAGTCAGTACCTTTATTTTGTTTTCATTGGCTTCAACTGGCCATCCAGAATATGGTGCATCTTCAATATTGAAATTGCCAGAACGAAATTTTGTAAACCAGTTTTGGCACTGTCTTTCTCTCAACACATCTTCTCCATACACGTCACACAATTTTTTTCTTGCTTGAACAGCATTCTTACCTTTTCAGTAATAAAAGAGCAAAATATGTCAAAAATGCTACTTTCGATCTTCCATATTTGATGGGACACAAAAAATAAACAATTGCACGAAATCAAACAAAATTTTTTACAAATAAGCCTTAAAATGCTAGCTGTCAAAAAATATAATGATTATATAACATTACTGCACACCGGATTATAATAAAATAAATATGACCTACTTGAACCTGTAACTGATGTGTATCGAATAATCTTTCAATGACGAACGTTTTCATAACCCCTTCTGGGCTCTTCTTCAGGTGAAAAAAAAACTGGATCGAATACCAAAAAGGAAATTAGAATAAATACGAACTCTGTTGAGTTTGAATCGTTCGGATCGTTCGCTGCTTTCGTCACATGATATGTTTGAAAGTGTTCGAATTTAACAATCCATGTCCAAATTCAAGATAAAGATATTATTATGACACTTATTTTTTCACCTGAAGAAGAGCCCAAAAGGGTTATGAAAACGTTCATCATTGAAAGATTATTCGATACACATCGGTTACAGGTTCAAGTACGTCATATTTATTTTAAATATAATGATAATACGGTTTATAATGAAAATGGCGGGAAAAATACGACTAATCCATTTAGTGGTAAAAAAAAACAAACTTACTTTCCAAACAACCTAATATATCATAATAACAAGACAGTGTCTTTTGATTTATCATCCCTGATAAATATGACATCATTATATAACCTGTTACCGTAACACATCTTGACATATGCAAGACATTCCAGAAGACCATCACCTGCTGAGGAACAGAGGAATTACAGATTTGAAAAGCAGCTTTTGAACGATAAAATTTTTAATGGATATAATCCAAGTCTTCAATGATGCCATCCATTTCTGGAATAATGCACCAAGATTTGTGTATTGGTGGTGGAGCAAACAAAAGACTCAATCTAGATACTTCCAGTATTTGGGTAGGAGGTTTGATGTTATCCCAACAGATATGCCTGGTACTAAGACCTTTTTTTTTCTCCATATGATGAATCCAGTTTTGATTATGCTGTTTGTTTGGGTGGTGCATCAGCCAATCAGAAAATTCAACCCCTTAGAGATAGCATGCTTTTATTTCAAGCAAGTAAGAAAAATTGAACAGGAATAAGAATCATAAATCAGTTAGTTCTGTGCAGTGCTTTTGTAGCAGATGCAAGTGGGTTTGTGATTTATAAATTTACTAAGCACATATTTATTTTGATAGTAATATTTATTTTAAATACAAATTGTGTATTACACCATGCCTCCAAAAAGTAAAAAAAAGTTTATTTCTATTTCTACAAAGAAGGAAATAATGAATAGTGTAAAAATGTACTGTACCTGCAAAAGAATATGAATTTGTTCAAAAGATAAGAAAAGTTCAAAAATGGCTAATGTAACAAGCTGACTTTGTGTAGACAGAGAGCTTTTTGTGAGTTTTTTAACATTTCAAATGGCACTTTTTTCATTCTATCAGTTTTTTTTTTTTTTTACTTGTTGGAACATTTCTGGAGATCTGCAATGGATTAGGCTAATTACATGTTGTAAAATTTTTAACTTATAGATTACTCTGCAGAATGAATTAATTATGTTCAGCAGAGTCCACATATTTATTTTTCTGTTTTAAATATGTGACCATAGTGCACATATAGAAAATAGAAATTTATTTTTTAAAAATAGCAATTACATTATCAGTTGAAAATTAGATAAATGTATTATTAATAAATGATTATTCTTATCATTGTGGTCATGTTCAGTTCACTATCATTATTCCTAACACATCAACACACATATATATATACATACACACACACATATATACATATATTATCATTACAAATAAAAAATTGAGCAATATTTAACTCATTTTTCAATTTGCATTTATTTATAAATCAATTGACTTTACTACAGTAAAACAATTTTTTTTTTTGTGCAAATTATTATTAATTAACATAACTTTAGTTATATTATAAACAATTGAAAGACTGAATGTAACAATGGTCTAACCCTCTGCAAAGTCAAAATTGAGTTAACAGTATTAAACTTTCGTGTATTAAATGTATTATCTCTAAAATGAATGAAAGATTACTGTTGCTCTGATTACAAGTAATGATAGAAATAAAACTAGTATAACAGCAATATCCATAAATTTTGAACTAACTGGAGATATAGATCACAAGAAACTCGCACCTTTAAAATCCAGCAATGTTCTTAAAAAATGTTCTTATTTTATTAAATTCATTGCTAGATTTTAAAGGTGTGAGTTTTTTGTATGACAGCAAAATATGAAAAATTAGGGCACACCACTTTTACAGTATATTATCAATTTAAAAAGAAAAGGATTAGACCACTATTGCATTCAGCCTTTCAATTGATAAAAAAAGACATTTTAAGCATTTCATGATGTAGTGATGTATAAGTTTTAAAAATAAAATTATGATACCCAATAAATGAGAAAAAGTTGTAAAAGAAAGAGAAAATATAATTATTGATTAAAATTTAATTAAAAATTAATAAATTTAAATTTTATTTATTTACTGAACATACCATTATGAATTTAAAAAAAAAATCAGTTATGTAATAATATATATTTTGTTTTATTCGTATCTAAATTTATAATAAATTCAAATATGTATAAATTTTCTAATTTTTGTTTAATAATTACAATTGTTTTTTAGTTACTTCATATCCTGGCACTTCGTTTGTTATTTGGTATTATGTTTCATCCAAAAGCAATCTCTTGTCAAATCTCATCTACTAGTATTTCTGATTGTAGCACTGCTTTACCTGATTTGAGAAAACCTTCATTTGACTATGTTTTCACATCAGATATTTATAGTTCTGAATTACGTGGATTGATTGGTGGAATTAATTTGATAGTGGGTAAGTATAGTAAGTTTTTAAAGTAATAAAGAAAGAGTTGTACAAATTATTATTTCTTTCTTTGTGCAAACTACTATTAACTTTTCAACAGTGGGATGGTCAGGTATGATGCTATCCCAAAGTAGTGGCCAATAAATGTGGGAAATTTTTAAAGTATTTTTCCACACGTTTTTTTCTCATTACCATTTCGGAAAAGATTTTGTAAACAGTTATGTCTAGTAAAGAAAAGTCTTTTTTTATTGTTACATAATTAGTTTTTTTAGGTGAATTTTTTTTTGCGGTAGTTTTTGGCAATACCCCCAAAAGAATTTAACAGATATATCTGTCCCTCACCACTGCCACACGATCGCCCTGGATGGATATATCCATCCCTCACTTAAGGTAACCCTCATACATTAATACATAAAAATTATTTATTTTAAAGATTTTCAATACAGCAATGTAATAACAACAAAAACTCAATTAAAATAAAACTTGTTATTTTTATACTAAAAGTAGGAATTAAATATTAAAGTAATTTAATGATAAAATTAGGCAGAGTTTCTATTAAAAATGTTAATTTAAATTATATATTTTGACTTTTATACATATTTTCAGAAATACATTATGCTCAAGCATTGGAACCTGTTTGTTTAAAAGTTAAAAATGATACATTATGGTGGTTATATTTATTTTGCCATCGTATTTCAAGATAGCTTACTTATTGTTACTTATTTATTAAATCTATCTTGTAGCACAAGGATATATTTAAATCTTACTACATATAGAACTAAGAACAAAGCTTGAACTATATTATTTTTTAACTCTTTAAACTTTGAAAACTCATTCCATCTCTTTTGCTAATAGCTAAATTGTTTTTATCTCAGGCTATTGTATTGTCAGGCTAATTGTTTGTTCTCTGGCTACAAGAACTTTTATAGCAAACACTAGTGTAAAAGTTTTTCAATCAGTCAATTTCATTTTTAATGGATAAGGCCAATTTTGTGTTTAAAGTGTTAATATGATTGTTGCTGTTCTAAGTGTTTATTTTATTATGATACAAGCAGCATCAAACACAATTTATAAGAAATTTCTGTTAAGATCATTGAGCCAGGAATTCATCATTTGCATTTGATTACAAAATACTTAGCAAGTGTTTTTCATAAATCAAAAGAGAAAAGTCATTCAATGTCAATAGGAATGTGAGATGAATGGTCTAGCATCTTTGATCTGAAAAATCACACACATGCTATGCAATTGTGTTTTCTGGCATTATCAGGGAGTAAGATTACACCTTGGCATAGAAAACTAGGCTGTTTTCAATGATTTGTCATTTACCATGTCTCCTTCTTTGAGAAAATCAAGAATCACTTCACCAAATGATTGCCCAAATATCAGGCTATAATAAGGCTAATTAATTAATTAAATGATTGGTATAAAGTAATTTGACCCTAGAGATAGACGTTAGGCGCCATCTCTTAAGTAAATTAATAATTATAATTAAATAAATTTAGAACCTTCTGGAATAAAAGAAACTGGTCCAGGATGGGGCTCGAACCCGCAACCTCCGCTTGCCGTGCAGTGCGCTTGCCAGTTACACCACCCAGACCCCGAGCGAGTCTTCACTTCCAGAAGTATATTACATTAGATATAATCTTACTTGGTTAAATACGACGCTGACTGGGGACGACTCCTTCGCCCACGGCCTAAGACCATCTCCACAACGGCACTCAGCCAGCTATCGCATTACCCGGAGAGGTGTATATATATATATATATATATAAATAATAACATCTCAAAGCCCGAGTAGTATACAATAAATCACCAAACAATCGCCTAAATATCGGGCTATAATAAGGCTAATTAAATGATTGGTATAAAGTAATTTGACCCTAGAGGTAGACGTTAGGTGCCATCTCTTAAGTAAATTAATAATTATAATTAAATAAATAAATTATTAAATAAATTTAGAACCTTCTGGAATAAAAATCTAAATAATATGGCACTAGCAGCTTACTCGCAACATTAAGATATACAAGTACAATGGGAGCAGGCAAAAACATCATCATTGTACTTGTATATCTTAATGTTGTGAGTAAGCTGCTAGTGCCATATTATTTAGATTTTTATCAATTGTGAACTTATGCTTCTTAAGTCGTTGTTTTAAATTATTCCATCTTTAAGAAACATACATAAGAAAGCGCCCAAAGCTAGTGATGTAGCAATAGTATACTGATGTAACTCAACAATCTTCAGAATTTTAGGAAACCATATAACCGTAATTCATCCATGGAGATTTACTCCATCCCGATAATCGACCAGCATTTCAAATCAAAACTGTTCTTCGTGCGTGCCACTACGTGTGATTTACAACAATGACTTAAGAAGCGTAAGTACACAATTGATAAAAATCTAAATAATGTAACACTAGTGGCTTACTCGCAACATCAAGATGTACAAGTATAATGGGAGCTAGCAAAAATATCATCAGACCAACATTTAATATACACACAATGGGATATCTGTAGAAATTGGAAATCTATAAAGCGCACAAAAAATTGTCATGCATTAACCATAGGGATGTGGACAATTCATCTACAGCAGGGCTTCTTAAACTATGGGTTGCGACCCGATTTGGGGTCGTGAGATTTTAATGCAAAATATTGAAAATAATTTGTGGGAGTTTGAAAATGGCATGCTTTGTGTCATAGGTTTCGTGAGTTGAGCTTTGTGCCACTTCTGGTGCAGCGAGACAACCATTCTGCAACACTGATTGTAGTGTGAACTAGTGTAGTGTTGTCGCTTTTCAGTGTATTCAGTTTTCTCTGTTCCATTGTAACACAAGAGTGAACTGTGGTAATACACCATTATTGTTTTTGCAAATTTGTATATATCTTTATTTTATATTTTTTTGGGGGGTTGCGAAAAAAATCACAATCATAAATGGGGTCGTGAATAAAAAAAAGTTTAAGAAGCCCTGATCTACAGCATTGCAGTCCATTTATGAAAGTTAATTGTATTGGGCACATGGCAGTCCGTTTAGGAAAATTAATTTTATTGGATGATATTTATTTATTCACTGTTATTTTATTTTTAATTAATTTATTTCTGTGATTATTTGATTAACCTCAACTATTTATTTATATATTTATCTTAAAATTCTTCTTATCGTTTTTAAAATTTTAAATTTTTGTATTGGTGTTCTATTCTAGCGTAACTGATGAAGATCAGTAAAACTGATTGAAAACATTTTTATTTTATTAAATCCACTACTGGATCTTTTAAAGGCATGTTTTTTGATTCTTTAAAAATATCACCATTGTTCACTGTAGAAGTTGTATTGATAAATTGAATTATTTTTAGATGTTATACATTTAATGTGTAATGCCTTAAGATGGTTTACTTTATCAGTATCTATAAATTTAAGACTTAATGTTTTTATAATTAATATTAATAAAGTAAATTTTAAAATAATTAAATTAACTATCAGAATTATTAATGTTTACAGAAGGTGTTGAAGGGATTGTTATAACAACATGTACTGGAGCACTAACTGTTCTTTTGTTGTTAGGAGTTATAAAAGTAAGTAAAGTTTTATTTCAATTTATTTAAATATCAGATTAAATCATTTATATTAAACTATATTTTATGGAATATTAGCATACAGTTGCTCCTTATCTTACAATAAGATGAGATAAATTGCATAGTATTGTCTGTATTGCTTTACCATTTTTATTGCTTTATTCTTTCTAAAGATAATAAAAAGGAATTAGGCAATTATATTGCTTAGTACTTAAAATAAATTATAAAATTTATATTCTTGTCATAACTTCTAGTAGTTGAAAATGTTATTATATTCTACCTGTCTAGCCATGCCATAAACTTTTATATCTTTAAACTGTTTTTCAAAAGCATTACATTAGGAAACAATTACTAGTGAGATTTTTACCTGTAATATAATGTAATGTGTGAGGTAATGTAAGACAAGGAGCATTTGTAGTTTTGTGTATATGTTACTGTGAATGACCGATATCTGGCGAATGTCAACATTCTCTGGTGAATGTTAGCATTCACACAGTCGTGTCGTGTATGTACGAAATATTTGCTAAATATCATCATTTCTCACTTACACTGGCAAATGTCGACATTTAGCATGCGCTGATGGTGAATGTTGAACAAAAATATTTTTATTACATTAAGACAAAAATGCAACATTTTAATATAAAAAATAGAAGAAAGCTTCAGTAACGGCACATGTAAATAAACTGTTGAACCTAAAATGAACAGTACGTTCTAAATCATTAAAGAAAATAATACAATAATAAACTTACACATAAATTATGTGATTGACATTGTACAATCTTATTTATTGCAATAACTTAAACTGTTATGGCACTTTGAGTCCCTTGCTTTTACAACTGCATTTTTGCAATAAAATTTGGAACACTTCTTTTTGCAATGACAGCGTGTACAGTAGACAACCTATAACACTGTATATAATTCCGTGTTATATGAATTCCATGTTGTACGAGTCACTTAGATTTTACAAATACGTGTGTCGGGATGTGAACGGCTCACGTATTTGTAAAATCTAAATGACTTGTACAACATGAAATTCATATAACACAGAAATATCTACAGTGTTATAGAGGGTCTACTGTATAACCTTACCCTCTACTTTTCGAATTAGCTGTAGCTGCTTCTCTCAGCAATATTTCTTGAGAAGAAATCTCATCTATGGAAAGTAACTTTTCTTAACAAATTGCGAACTGATTACGTTATTACGTGATTTCGAACTGATCTGTTAATGGTGTCTTTTATTCGGATATCGCCGACGCCTTACCGATGACCCCTCTCATCCTCCGCCACTTGACCTGACTAATTGATCCCCACCTCACAGGATCAAAATACAAAAACTCTATCCAGTGACAAAGTAAGCGATTTCCACCAAACCGTTGCTTGAAACAGAGGTACAACCTTGTCCTACCTTCGACTACCCACAAAAGATTTGGCGACAGTCTGTCACATCTCTGTCGACATTAGCTTTTAGGGTGTCGTTTCTACCTCCACCAAAGCTTATCTGGGCTTGTCGACATACACCAGCGATTGTTCGAGTGTATAATAATATAACCAAATATTCGGTCTTTCACCAACGTATTTTGTATGTGGACATTCTCTAATTTCAGTCTTTCACAGTAACATATATAATTAACATAATTTAGTAATAAAATAAAATGCAAATTTAGAAAAAAAAAATTAGAATTAAAGTTGAAAAATAACAAAATACTCCTGTTATCAAAAAGTATCGGAAATGGTTCAATAAAACACAAGTTTTGAATTTATTCATCAAAATTTATTTTGTCCTCTAAAGTAATCTCTTCCCACTTAAATGCCTTCCCTGCCATTGCTGTGATAATTTCCTCTGAATTGAATTTAATAATCTGTAAGAAACTGGAGGGTTGGTGGATACTGGTTTAAACCCTCTTGAACTGGTAACAGTCTGGTGAAGACCTCTCACTTTGTCAATGGATGGTTGACCTGAGTGACAAAGGGGTGATAAGTCTGTTGATAGGGTGTTGGCACCTAATAAGTTCACACGGGAGCAGGTTAAACAACAAAAATAATAATTTTATGAACTTAACACATAAGCATTTGATACAATAAGCTAATTCACTACAGGTTATTCTACCTTTCGTAGGTAACATAATGTCCGGGACTATTTCTATGTGCCAGTAGTTTTACTATTCAGTCCATACAACTGTATTGGATAGAGATAGACATTAAAACCTTATATCTACATCCTTATAGGCTAATTGACCAAGAGAGAAAGTTTACATTTCCTTAAGTAATATACCTCTTAGACCGATAGTTCCAGATCCTGTTGTATGGGACATTGGAAAAATGCACCAGGATTGGCAGTCAGTAGGTGTGGAAGTAGTCCTCCATCCTTTCGTGTCGTAGTATGGTGGGACATCTGTAGTCAGTCTCACTTGTGAAGTTCACGAAACACTCTAGAATCATCTTGGCAGAGAGAGACTGGAGATGGAAGCGGGCGAGGGCTGACAAATGAGCCTTGGTCTATAGCTTCTAGGAGAGTGTCCACTTTGAGGCTCAAGTTTGAGCTCCTTCTATCCTTGAGCATGGGAGAAAAGTCAGGTGACTTTGATTTAATATGGTATAAGTTTGTGCTGTGTCCTGACGAGCTGTTAGGAACTGGATGATTCGGCTGAATTATTGATACTTTCTAGCTGTTGGTGTGATTCGTCTTACCTCATAATTTCATCCTTTTGACAGTTTTCTAACATTAATAATTATGTTTGGATTTACTCCCAGGACTTATTCAAAACATTGTAAAGATTGTTGATTCATGATGAGATTCAATCCTCTGTTTATCTCTCAGATATGCATTCAACAAAAATATGAGGGGGGTGAGAAAAATGGGTTTTTCTAACTTTCTCAATTAATCGGGTATTAATTTTAATTACCCTTCGACTCTCACAAATCTATGTAAAACTTACATGTAGAAATGACCAGTAACACACTGTCCAGGAGGTACAAACTCAAGCACCACACCATTTATGTCAAAAAATGCAATGAGCATCACCTTTTTCCTTGAATTTGATGAGACATGATTTCTTTGGTCAGGGAAATCACACTAAGCCACTATGATGACTGCATCTTCATCTCTGGGTCATAGGCAAACACCTGTGACTCATCACCAATGACAATCTTCATGAGAAACATTGGATCCTGCATGCTTTTTTCAAACAGATATCTAATGATCGGCAAAGTGAATTGCATCTGATAAGTGGTAGCTGTCCTGGAACACTCTTTTCACTGACACATCTCAACTTCAAATTGTTGAACAGAATTGCAAGAATGGATCCATGAAAGACACCAACTTCTTGTTCCAACTCCATGATGGCCATTAGTGGATCAGAACAAATCAGTTATTGCAATTTGGCAATCATTTCTTTGGTTCTGGATGTGGATGACCTCTCTTGTGCTCATCATCCTTCAGCATTTTCTGAAAACAGTTACGTGAGGATTTCTTTAATGCAGTATCACCATAAACTTGCTGTAGGACTGATAGCATCTCTTGAGCACATTTTCACTGTTTGATTTAAACTTGATGTTCACACATTGTTTAAACTACGACATGGCACTAAAAGACAAACACATTCACATCAAAATTAACACAGTAATGCCATCATGTGGTGAAACATGTCTGGACCAGTTATAGCTGCAAGAAGACATTGTATTTTCCTCACAACTGTTATCTCTCCTTTCCTTTGCATTCTTGTGGACAATTCTGTGAACTTTTTGACTGCATGTGTGCAAGTGTGTATATATATATATATGTACACTGTTATATTACATAATTTTATTTAGTTTAATTATGCTTTTAATTTAATAATAATTATTATTATTAATAATTTATTATCAATATATATATTTCATGTTAATTAAAAAATTATTTTTAATGTTTAAAAATTTTTTACAGGGAATTCCTATTTTTTAATGCCATTTTTTTGTGTACAAATATTTGATTTCATTGTATCTGCATTGTATGCTGTTCTTTACTTTTCATATGTGCCTGATGTGCAAGACATGATTCAAAATGCACCATGCTTACCTTTTCGAAAGCTATTGCTTTGCATGGATCCACAATGGTTATTGGCTCTTATGATGATTATAGTTATCTTATGTATGATGCTAAAGGTATGTACTACTTCATTAGCAAAAATTTTAATTAAAATTACATTTGAGTCTAGAAGTTATATTTGATATTTAATATTTAAATGTAATATTTTTTAATAAATGTTTTCTCATTTAAAATAAAATTATTTTAATTAATATTTATTTATTACTATATTTGCAGGCATTCATGCTATTTTGTTCTATTTTGCATCATTTTGCATTTATTCAAACTACCCGAAGTTTTGTTTTGTTATGTTTCTATTAATAATTTGATGATAAATATCTAACGACATAAAATAATTTTATCTAAATTGAGATAAAAGCATTGATTAAATCAAATGTTAACTTAATTTTTCCTATAACATAAATTAATAATGTTTCAACGAATGATTTATATGATATAGTAAATATAAAATATAAAGTAAATATAAAACTAAAATACAGTAGAACCTCGATTATCCGGACTAATTGGGGATGAAGGTAGTCCGGATAAGGGAAAATCCGGATAATCGAAACAAATACTTTGTCTTTTAATGATAATACAACACGTTTTCTTTTCGATGACATATCGATAATATTAAAAGTGAATACTGTATTTAAACCGTGATCAAATTTTCAAGAAACAAACGTTCGTATTGAATTTGGACTACTACTGACCAACGCTAACAGACTACCTATTGTTTAAAAGGTCCTCTGGTAGCGCAAAAAGACTGATTTTTATTAAATAAAAAGCAGTTGAAACTGCATTTTTATGAATAAAAAATTAGACACTNTATTTGATATTTAATATTTAAATGTAATATTTTTCAATAAATGTTTTCTCATTTAAAATAAAATTATTTTAATTAATATTTATTTATTACTATATTTGCAGGCACTCATGTTATTTTGTTCTATTTTGCATCATTTTGCATTTATTCAAACTATCCGAAGTTTTGTTTTGTTATGTTTCTATTAATAATGTGATGATAAATATCTAACGACATATAATAATTTTATCTAAATTGAGATAAAAGCATTGATTAAATCAAATGTTAACTTAATTTTTCCTATATCATAAATTAATAATGTTTCAACAAATGATTTATATGATATAGTAAATATTTATTTATTACTATATTTGCAGGCATTCATGCTATTTTGTTCTATTTTGCATCATTTTGCATTTATTCAAACTACCCGAAGTTTTGTTTTGTTATGTTTCTATTAATAATTTGATGATAAATATCTAACGACATAAAATAATTTTATCTAAATTGAGATAAAAGCATTGATTAAATCAAATGTTAACTTAATTTTTCCTATAACATAAATTAATAATGTTTCAACGAATGATTTATATGATATAGTAAATATAAAATATAAAGTAAATATAAAACTAAAATACAGTAGAACCTCGATTATCCGGACTAATTGGGGATGAAGGTAGTCCGGATAAGGGAAAATCCGGATAATCGAAACAAATACTTTGTCTTTTAATGATAATACAACACGTTTTCTTTTCGATGACATATCGATAATATTAAAAGTGAATACTGTATTTAAACCGTGATCAAATTTTCAAGAAACAAACGTTCGTATTGAATTTGGACTACTACTGACCAACGCTAACAGACTACCTATTGTTTAAAAGGTCCTCTGGTAGCGCAAAAAGACTGATTTTTATTAAATAAAAAGCAGTTGAAACTGCATTTTTATGAATAAAAAATTTGACAAACTATTTATCGTTTTATGACGAGTAAAATTTTTTCGTCGCGTTCGCGGCTTTTAAGTAATGCATAAACCTTCGAAACGCGTGGCCCTTCGGACTGCCAGGCATAGACAGTGGCCCACGTTGGCCATGCCTTACACTGCCTTGGTCATAGAAATGATGTAATTTGAAAATAAATTATTTATAAATACGTATGTCAAGTTATATTTTTATTACGATGCAAAATATTTAAGAGTTTACGGTTACTGTGCCGGGTGAGACGTTGTAGAAACAAAAAAAGTTATGCATTCCATCACGTACATAAACAGTATTGTAATTCGCCAAGTGCAAATCCGCAAATTCTTAAAATTTTTGTTTATTTTGAACAATCCGGATAATCGAAAATCCGGATAATCGAGGTTCTACTGTATTTTACAAGATCTGACATTGATGTAACAAACAGATTCTTTGCACAAGAGTTCGTAAAAGAATCTTGTTAACTGGCTATTTGACTTGCATTGGACTTGTAGTAAATTTGATAATTATAAAAATTACATTAATCACAAAAGGACAAAACTACAGTTAGGTATAATTAATATTCTTAATTGAAAAGTTAAACAATATAACAAGGGAAAACTTTTCAAACAATATTAACTTCTTGATAACTTACAATATAATAGATGCAAG